TGAGTCAAAGTTTCATTAACCCATGCATAAACATCTGATGAATCTGCCGTTTGAACAAATCGTTTGAATGAATGACTCAATGACTCACTCATTAAACACTACTGGCACTGGCGTTTTAATTTCGTTGAAAAGTATAATTTCCACCATCATTTCTTGTTTGTATATTCAAAAATATTTAAAATAATCTCATAATATTATTTAATGCAGTTGTATTTTTCAGTGTAAATGATTTAATTTGATAACGTATAGATAACCACATTATTATAATTGAATTTATAGATCAAATGTAAGAATTTGAAATGAAATTATTAATGAGATTAGTGGGAAAATGCCCTCTATAAAGGTAAAAAAATTTCCTTGGATAAAATATTGAATATATAAATACTGAATAAAATACGAATATTGCGTCAGAATAAACCTTATTTGAAAAAAAAAAACACACACACACACAGTTTGCCAAGTATGCTGTTGAAAGAAAAGAAAGTACAACACACTAATGGTTAAGTCCCTAAAAGTGCATACTTAAGTCTTAAAATACTAGTTCACCCTCAAAAAAATTTGCTTTTTGTTATCATTAACTGTCATTTTTTGCCATTCTCAAGAGGATTATAGGATTTATACTGGCGAATTCTGGAAAGGAAAAAAAAATCAGTATGAAAATAGTCCTTTGGATGCATCAAGTCAGCTGCCAAATACAGTTTGTTTTTGTGTCACATGACTGATAGTGATGCAACCTGTTTAAACAGAACAAAACAAAAGAGATTTGAGCATCACTGCGGAAAAAGAAAGATTGAATGACTTAAATTTAGATGTGCGTGATATTAAAATTCTGTGATCAAGCCATTTAAACAAAATCATGCAACTTCTCAGAATGGGGTCGCTGCATCTACATTTTATCTCTGCTTCACGGATTGGGCATAAATTCTTGTTCAGACAATGAAAAGGTGATTGAATTTCAAGCTATGCTTGCCATAAATTTCAGAAGAAATCAACCACGATACTACTTTTGAAAGCACGGACCAAACTGCTGAGTTTGATACAGCCAATTTTCCTACAGAGCTGCCGATATCAGACATCTGTTCAACCATTCATTTCTAATTTTGAAAAAAATTTAAATAAAGCAAAGGCTTCGATTAGGAGTCAGTCAAGCCAAAACCATAAACTTTACCAAGATTTTGATCGGCCAATTTAATAAGCTATTGAGTCAAACATGTAACACAAACTCTTGTGGTGAGCACCAACGTCTCGGAACGTTATAGGACGTATTGTCTTCTTCTACATACTCTTAGATGGTCTCTACTGGTTTCTCTCCTAATAAAGGCATATTTGGATAGTGACTTATAGGTCACGGAGAAAGGAAGCTGGAATTGTTCCACGGTCTCGAATTCTTTGACAAACACACCTTGCTAGCACATGTTACTGAAACAGTGAGCTAATTAGCTTAAACAATAAGGTTTACATTCGCTGACGTACATATCTTCAGAGGAGGTAAAATTTTCAGGCATTACTCCACACTTCTACTCATTTTTCCGTCTTTTTCACATTTGTATTTATTTTAACAAGACTCTAGAGAAAGTTTGGCAGCTGGCACTCCAGATAGGATTTCTCTTTGTTCATATGTTGGCAGCACACTACTCAGACATTTTCAGACATTTTAGGCCATTCACATGTTTGGTGTGCTTGAAGTTTTCCTGAATATCATTTCAAGTCAACATGAAATCAATACTGATGCTATTTACATTATTGATACACATTCCTGGTTTTATTGTGTATGGTTCATCAGTGCATGTTATTCCAAAGGAAAAATAATGTTTGTCTTTGTAATCTTCGTAATCAAAATGTAATAATTCACAAATTTCCTTTTTGCCTGACATAACTTTGGCTGTACATGCTACTGGAAAGTGTTAACTGATAGCCAAATAGCTGTTTAGACATTGCTTTATTTCTCATAGCCCAAATACTTAAACACTGTATCTGAGAAAATATTAAAGAAAATGTTTTAGGTAAATAAAAATATACTAACAATATACTATACTATACTAAACAAAATACTACATTT